GGTGGGGATGAGGGAAGGAGGATGGAAAGAAGCAGGAGGAAGGTGGCAGGACAGCAGTGGTGGAGCTTGGGTTTTATTTGGTCCGAAGGAAGGCAGCAGCGCATGGCAGGGCTGGGCGGGAGCGCCAGGGAAGCAGCTGGGTTTGTGCAAGGGTGAGCGCGCAGGCGCGGGGGTGAGTGTGCTTGCCATGTCCCCCAGCCCCATGGGCCCCTCCAGGTGTTCTGTTCTGCTCACTCCAGCTGCTGCAGGAAGGCCAGAAGCCCGCGGTGCCACTCGTCGGGCTTGTCCAGGTAGCAGGCGTGTCCGGCGCCCTGCAGCACCAGCACCCGGTGCTCGGGGAGGTGCTGCAGGTTGTTCAGGCTGGGCTGCCCCAGCTCCGCGTCCTGGTCCCCGTACACGATCAGCGTGGGGGTCTGCAGAGGGGGAACACACTCTCAGCTTCCCAACAGCACCCAGGCACCCGTTCCTGGCTGGCATACCCTGGGACGGAGGGGAGACACTTGCCCTTCTCCCCTGCCTACCATGCCAAGGGGAAACTGAGGCTCAGGCTCCTGGGTCTCCTAGTGCTCACTCTTTTCCTCCTGCTACTCCACAGTCATGTTCCTTCATCACCATGTTCCCCTTTTCTATGGCAATGGGGTTTCTGGCTCACTTGGTCTTTCCCCTGCCCAACCCCAGTGCCAGGGTCCTCTCCTCATTGTCCCCTCCCTGGTCCCCAGCGTCCCTCAATCTCCCTCCGGGCCGTACTTTGATTTGGGCGTACTGCTCCGCTGTGAATTTCTCCGTGCAGATGGGTGCCACGGGCACATACGCCTTGAGCAGGTGGTTGTGCTGGAAGAGGAAGGGCAGGGAGTACATGCCACTGAGCGACGGGCTGATCACCACGGCCGGACCCAGATGCAGAGCCTCCAAAACCGCTTTCAGGAAAGTTCCTGGTGCCAGCTGACCCACGGGCGCTGGGGCCACAGCATCCTTGGAGCGACCCAGCCCTGAGCCGTGGGAGACAGAAGTTGCCCTGTCACGTTCCCTGCTGCCCTGTGACCGGGAGAAGCCGGCACAGCAGGACGCCAGGGTTGCCGTCCTGGTACCGTGAACCCGAGAGGCAGTATCGTCTCCCCCTGGCCCCCACCTCACTCTGGGGCCGTGCTCTCCACCACGCCTTACCCG